AACAATCAAAGTGTGACTTATACAATCTTAGCACTATGTCAAACCAATGGCGTCCGAACGGTATGAGCAGCCTAGTGTCTTTATTGGTCCTATGTCCGCCTAGCCCGTCCACCTGATTCCAGAACAACAATACCAGCTTCCACTATGCGAACCGAGTTGAATCATTTATTTCAGACATACTGGGTTTATATATCAATAGAACAGACCACAACGCACCATACAATAGGAAATAACATTTGTACACAATAAGGCCAAAAGGTGTCTGTGAACGTGGGAGACAGTAGTCAATAAACTGAACATAGCTTACGAACAGTAAATCGTACAATAATAAATTATAGGTCAAAATGAGGCTTATAATAAGAGGAATATGAATAGACATAATCTAGTTATTGAAAAGTTATACCATAAGGATGTGTAGATAATATTAGTTAATTAATATGTCTCAGAAGTTACTCGTGATTTAATCTTCCCCCGGATATAACAAGTCTAAGGAACAGAGTGACGGTGCTTTCAATCTGTCAACCGTTGGAATTCAAACGGAACTACCTTGGAGACAATATAGTATTTTCGTGCAGAAACATTTAAGAAAACATTAACTGCAACTAACACTTACCTTCGGCCGTTTTGTTGATGATTATGTAAGATCCTATAAAAGTATTCAAATGACAAACATTGTTGCACATAGAATTATTCAAAACTATGTACGTGATCATACTACGTGTTACTCTTTACATATGAATAACACTATTTATTTGCGGAAATCGTGTCAAAATAACGACCTACAATGGAGTAAACAAGTAGTTGCGTAAATGTATGTAAAAATACCGAAGCTTTCTGTATGAAACTATCAACAAATATTTTCATTGATTTTACTCGGAGTACACTTGACTATTGAAGAGCTATATTCCACTTACTTACTAGATTTTGCTGACAACAAACATCTGTGCTGATTATGTATTAACCAGAACTGAACATGATGTTTATGGTTAATATTATTAGTCTAGAATACTTATCACATGCTTCAAGGGATTAAGCATTAACGGAGTCCAATGAAATAATTTATGAATCTTGCGTTGTCAGTGAAAGATGTATCATACAGAAAATTCTACCTTGCAATACTCATTTTCCCTAAAGTGTGAGACCTGGTATTAAGGAATATCTCGGGTTGTCCGCAATTCTTGGGGACGTGGAGTACTTTGACATGATATACTCATTTGTTATGTTTGTAATTATTATAAACAGAAGCGACGAGGTCTTTGCCCGTTCATTAATTCATTAAACGTAATAACCACCTAGAACTACTTGTGTGAAATCATTTTATTTCCTATTGAAATGGTAGTGGAAATTTATCGAAGGCAGATTAACTGTTATTTTGCTGATGTGAGTATACAAGTGAGAGACACACCACAACATTATCAATCGAATCACTACATAGGGACATCTTAGACTTATGAGTTCGATGGTCACTTGAGCAGTCGCTATGCACAATTGTTGACTGACAAGCTACAAAATGACCTATGGATTTCTGAAGTTTGTTTGAACGAACCAGTCAATAATGTGGAATTTAATCATAGTTATCTTGCAAAGTGTATATGATGCATGTAAATAGATCAGTATAAGTAACATCTCATCGTTTACGTGGTATTTGTATATCAGATCTTCCTGACGCTCCACCTTTAGTATAAAAACAAAAGTTATGCTATTATGAATAGAATGTTCCAGCAATATATAAGTAATTTATGTGTGTATGAAAAACAAAGTGTTCGAAGTGTTTATATGGAAAAGTGGAACAGACGCCCTGTTGTTCATAACGAAGATGATACTGATATTGATGGCTATTTAAAAACGCTTTTAAAGACATGTCATCATATTCATATGAAAACACATGAGAAACAGAAAAATCACTGCAATATCACTATTTAGGTTAATTCTCCCCGTGAGCAAAATTCATGTTACATAAAATGTAATGGGAATGTCGATGATAAACAAGAAACACCTATTGAGGAAATGTAATAGAACTGATAAATAAATTCTGAAAAATAAGCTGACTAACCAATCGAACCAAAGAAGAGTAATCTTCGATTCTCTATGAAATGAAAAATGTTAAATGAAACAAGTTGACATAACACACAACATCAAGAACAACAAACACGGAGATACATCAAAAACGAGCACAATTATAAGAGCAATCTTCAAATTGATATAAAACAAATCAAAGAAAATGAAAAACTGAAAATATTTTCAAAACAGTCACACAGTACAAACATGAAACGCAAAAATGACTTACCAGCATCAATTAATCTTTGCTTTTCTAGACAAATAATTGTACGCAATCAAATTGAAATCACATCTATTCATAATAGATTTTCAACATATGTTGGTTAATCAGACCAGAATAAAAGGTGAGAGCACACTTGATATTAACTGACAACAAAGATTGGTGTTTGCCAACTCATCGTTTGGAGAATTATTAACCGTCAGCTGCTTCTTTTGTGAATGAGACTCCTGAATAGCTCACATGGTGGACTGACTGGTCTCCACAATGGTATCCACAAAATAAAATTTATTCCTTGGTGGTTAGCGACGGATTTTATCCGATTATTTGAACACCAACTCATACACACGGCAAGATTAGAATATCAACACATTTTCAGGTCAACTCTACGGAAACCGTATTCACATGTGATCAAACATGTAATTCCATGATCCGATTATGAAGACCCGTCATCACTTAAACTTGTAACCTATTAGATAATTTTAAATGTGAGTTAGTACTGCGTTATTTAAGGAAATCGGTCAGAGTACTGTGTGCGTAAATAATCCGAATCTGAGAATATCAATGGCAAGCTGTCATTCTTTCATCTGTACACTGACAGATTTCGACGTGACTCATTGCAACTGAGTGGTCTTATCAGTGGAGAGTATGAAAACAAGTATGTGGATAGATCTATGCAATACAAATCCAACATACTTTTTAATGTTGTATTTAGTCTGTTAAGATAATGTTGCTGATTGATGTGCCTCAACTATTGCTTGTACATTCCTTCTTTACTCAGACACATGAGATCGGTGTTTTCATAAATGATTTAATCACAAGCGCGGTTCGCTTACCAGCGAACTGTGTTTTCTTCAACATGAGAAGCAATGGAGTGTTATTATTATCCAGTGATTAATACCGCTTCAGCCGACAAATGATTACATACAAATGTTCGTGGGTCTAGAGCTCACTAATTTACACAGTTTGAACTGGGAATTTCCTAAAAACAAAAGTAGTGTGTTCATTCACCCTGGAGAACACGATTTCACGGATAGGCACTCAAACACAAAATCAGTGTTACCAGATGCTCTAAAGACGACATCGTTCATTTGAATGGAACGACCAATATCATGCATTTTCACACAGAATATCCAATATGTTTTCGCTGCACGCAGATATTTGGGAAACACAACTGAATATCAGCTGAACATTAAATGTGAATGAACTCTAAGTAAAATCATCGGAATACTCACTCTGTTCTTCACGCCTGTCTTCTTCTTCTTTTCGAATTCCTGTGGTGAAAATCAAACAACAATATTCACTATTCGCTTTTTATTTTCATAAGATGCAAAAGATTATCAGTTTAGGAGAGGGGAACTAAAAACATCAGAAACGATTTTATCACAGCTCACAAAACGGGTATCTTCCGATCAATTGAAGAGAACAAACGGTTAATTAGGGAACTATTTGTACTGCAGTGCACGAATAAATGTTGAAGTAGTCTTGAAATTATTACGGACTTGATGAGGACAATCAATAAGCATGAACTCGGGCGAACTGACCCTCTCCACAAAAGTTGCATGATCTCACTTGAACGTGGAACTAGTCAAACAGTGTTTGATCACTCCGATTTCACATGTTACTTGCGATTACAGTGCGGCAATAATCGGAAACGGGAAAAATTGATGCGGTCTAAAAAATATTCTCGGTTTCGCTTTGCAGTCACTGGTCAATGAACAGAAGTGCCAAATTACGCCTGCAATGTCGTTTACATAAAACGGAATCTTGGAGGAATTGGTTCAGTTAACATGCACTGTGACTAGCGTGATAGAAGTGGAATGATATTGTGTGGAAATTGAAGTTTGTTTGAGAACGCTGTACAACTAAAAAAACTGATGTTCCCTTTTCGTGACGCAGAATACGATTTTCGGAATTTTGTACAGGTAGCTGGCTATCATGCTTGAAAACAAATTACATGGATCCGTGTGAGTGTGTGAGGGATGTTAGCCATTATGATGATGAAAACCTAACTGCGTTGCGTGTCCATGCAAAATGTTTCGGTTGAAAACAATATCGCACGTTAGACATGTCCAGTGAATTGAATCTGCCGCCCTAATATGCCAGTGTTCTGCAACGTTTGAGACGAAATGATTGAAGCTATTACCGGAGTTCTTGAAAAGTCCAATTTCGTAAGCCATGTACACGACTAGGTTCAGCACAGTGTTTTCAGAGTGGCTATAAAAATTAAGTGGATGACCATGGATTTCACTTGTTATTGATTTCACAAATGACCTGAATGTGAAAATAATTAGCGGTTATTATAGTTGGACACTCACGGAAACGAGTTTAAATACATTTGCAGACTTTGCTCATAACGGCATTTGCTATCGAAATCCTGATCTAAGCTATTTACAATACTCGTTGAATGTGCTATCAACAATGGGAACAATTTCACAAAACGTATAAATTCTCAATTTAGAACCTCTATCACATAGTAACGTATCTATCAGGAAACTTTAGTGTCGTTCCCATCTGTTAGTTAATGTGGTAATTATTACTCTGTATGGTTGGATGTCGAAATAGGAGGAAATCCTGTAGAATTCGTTGATTTTGTCAAATTCATATAGGTTGTTTCGTAATTTTGAGCGTGTAGAAATACTGATTTTATTTCGGCTCACTCAGTTCCGTCCTCTGAATATGTTACAGGGGAAAATTACATTTTCGTGTCGACATCTATGAGTTTCTAAGTTTTCAAGATTAAACTAACTTCAAACATTGAATCTTTTTGAATAAGGTAAACAATTGGCAATAGTCTATTATTCGACTGTTGTGGACAATCTCGAAGTATGAAAACTTCTAGCAAAGTTATGAAATATTCTTGTCCATGCAATTTGATTGATCGTAAATATGAAACAATAAATTGTTCTAATATTCTAATATTTGATTGCTTAACAAGTACACAAATACGTAATACTCTGCAGGTATTTAGGGATGCAGTGTGTAAGAACTCATTTCATACATAATGAACCACCATGCTCAGGCTTCATAGGAATATCAAACTTTAAAATGCTCTGTCGCAGCGATTCATAATCGATGTTTATAATTCTTTGAACAAACTCTTATTTCATGAGTTTTAATAGATTGTGAAAAATAATTTTCTAGATCTACCTGTATTACTATTGACATTTCGTTTGCTCTCAGTGCCTAAATGTTAACATGTTACAATGAAAGTAATGAAATTTGTTATGTTCTGGAGTAATGTAACAAAGACGTCGTTCTCATTTCACATAAAATGACACGAAAGAGTTTCAATAGAGTTGAGTTTATATCAATGTAAGAAAACAACCATACTGCATTAAGACATGAGAATATTATGATCGCTTTATGGAAGTATGTGATCGATTTATAACGACAGGTTAAGACCAAACTCAAAAACCCAACCGCCACTGATTTGCAAATACGCATTTCGTGGCTCGTTATCGTGAAAATTCTGTCGATTGTGACTGTGAGATTTTCATCGCTCACTGTTTAACAGATAACCATGTTCACTTTGAATATACGAAGGCAACAAATTGAAGCCAATGTAAACAAGTGGAGACGAGAATAATTTCAGAGTGCGATTTGATGAACGGAGAACGAATGTTGACGTTCGATAGTGATCCTTGAAGGAGTCGTTAGTTCTGAACACTGGAATGCAAGTGCCACTATGAACGTTGATCGAGGCAGTCTGCACGACTATTAAAGCGAACATGAATTGACTTACCTTCTCCATCAGTTTTCTCATTCGCTTCTGAAATATTTGTAGTGAGTGGACAATGTGGACGATGTAGTTGGTGATAAAATTTCCATTTGAAATGCAGAATTAATTTGCAATTCTTAAGAGTGAGTGATCATCTTCACAATGGTTTCATCAAACGAATGTGTTTCGTTTGGATTGTAAGGTGTGGACACGTGAACTGAAACTATCATCTATTATGCTATATGACTGCTACATTAAATGTGAATATTGCAGTGGTCGGAAGTGGATGTGTGTAGTTCGTGGACCTGAACGATCCTCGTGCTTTCAGCAAATCAACCATACTCGTATCGGCCACATCACAAGTGGTTTCTTGGATCATCTCAAGGCGTTTGCAATCCATCCAGATGTGTACACTATTTAAACGTTGACACGTTCACAGAGTCAAACTGTTTGTGAGACGCCATCAGACATCTTTAGCTGGTTTTATTTCATTCATCATCATTATACAGAATGAAGCGCAACCTTATTTTATTTTGACTCACTCAGTTCCGTCCTCTGAATATGTTACAGGGGAAAATTACATTTTCGTGTCGACATCTATGAGTTTCTAAGTTTTCAAGATTAAACTAACTTCAAACATTGAATCTTTTGAATAAGGTAAACAATTGGCAATAGTCTATTATTCGACTGTTGTGGACAATCTCGAAGTATGAAAACTTCTAGCAAAGTTATGAAATATTCTTGTCCATGCAATTTGATTGATCGTAAATATGAAACAATAAATTGTTCTAATATTCTAATATTTGATTGCTTAACAAGTACACAAATACGTAATACTCTGCAGGTATTTAGGGATGTAGTGTGTAAGAACTCATTTCATACATAATGAACCACCATGCTCAGGCTTCATAGGAATATCAAACTTTAAAATGCTCTGTCGCAGCGATTCATAATCGATGTTTATAATTCTTTGAACAACCTCTTATTTCATGAGTTTTAATAGATTGTGAAAAATAATTTTCTAGATCTACCTGTATTACTATTGACATTTCGTTTGCTCTCAGTGTCTAAATGTTAACATGTTACAATGAAAGTAATGAAATTTGTTATGTTCTGGAGTAATGTAACAAAGACGTCGTTCTCATTTCACATAAAATGACACGAAAGAGTTTCAATAGAGTTGAGTTTATATCAATGTAAGAAAACAACCATACTGCATTAAGACATGAGAATATTATGATCGCTTTATGGAAGTATGTGATCGATTTATAACGACAGGTTAAGACCAAACTCAAAAACCCAACCGCCACTGATTTGCAAATACGCATTTCGTGGCTCGTTATCGTGAAAATTCTGTCGATTGTGACTGTGAGATTTTCATCGCTCACTGTTTAACAGATAACCATGTTCACTTTGAATATACGAAGGCAACAAATTGAAGCCAATGTAAACAAGTGGAGACGAGAATAATTTCAGAGTGCGATTTGATGAACGGAGAACGAATGTTGACGTTCGATAGTGATCCTTGAAGGAGTCGTTAGTTCTGAACACTGGAATGCAAGTGCCACTATGAACGTTGATCGAGGCAGTCTGCACGACTATTAAAGCGAACATGAATTGACTTACCTTCTCCATCAGTTTTCTCATTCACTTCTGAAATATTTGTAGTGAGTGGACAATGTGGACGATGTAGTTGGTGATAAAATTTCCATTTGAAATGCAGAATTAATTAGCAATTCTTAAGAGTGAGTGATCATCTTCACAATGGTTTCATCAAACGAATGTGTTTCGTTTGGATTGTAAGGTGTGGACACGTGAACTGAAACTATCATCTATTATGCTATATGACTGCTACATTAAATGTGAATATTGCAGTGGTCGGAAGTGGATGTGTGTAGTTCGTGGACCTGAACGATCCTCGTGCTTTCAGCAAATCAACCATACTCGTATCGGCCACATCACAAGTGGTTTCTTGGATCATCTCAAGGCGTTTGCAATCCATCCAGATGTGTACACTATTTAAACGTTGACACGTTCACAGAGTCAAACTGTTTGTGAGACGCCATCAGACATCTTTAGCTGGTTTTATTTCATTCATCATCATTATACAGAATGAAGCGCAACCTTATTTTATTTTGACTCACTCAGTTCCGTCCTCTGAATATGTTACAGGGGAAAATTACATTTTCGTGTCGACATCTATGAGTTTCTAAGTTTTCAAGATTAAACTAACTTCAAACATTGAATCTTTTGAATAAGGTAAACAATTGGCAATAGTCTATTATTCGACTGTTGTGGACAATCTCGAAGTATGAAAACTTCTAGCAAAGTTATGAAATATTCTTGTCCATGCAATTTGATTGATCGTAAATATGAAACAATAAATTGTTCTAATATTCTAATATTTGATTGCTTAACAAGTACACAAATACGTAATACTCTGCAGGTATTTAGGGATGCAGTGTGTAAGAACTCATTTCATACATAATGAACCACCATGCTCAGGCTTCATAGGAATATCAAACTTTAAAATGCTCTGTCGCAGCGATTCATAATCGATGTTTATAATCCTTTGAACAAACTCTTATTTCATGAGTTTTAATAGATTGTGAAAAATAATTTTCTAGATCTACCTGTATTACTATTGACATTTCGTTTGCTCTCAGTGTCTAAATGTTAACATGTTACAATGAAAGTAATGAAATTTGTTATGTTCTGGAGTAATGTAACAAAGACGTCGTTCTCATTTCACATAAAATGACACGAAAGAGTTTCAATAGAGTTGAGTTTATATCAATGTAAGAAAACAACCATACTGCATTAAGACATGAGAATATTATTATCGCTTTATGGAAGTATGTGATCGATTTATAACGACAGGTTAAGACCAAACTCAAAAACCCAACCGCCACTGATTTGCAAATACGCATTTCGTGGCTCGTTATCGTGAAAATTCTGTCGATTGTGACTGTGAGATTTTCATCGCTCACTGTTTAACAGATAACCATGTTCACTTTGAATATACGAAGGCAACAAATTGAAGCCAATGTAAACAAGTGGAGACGAGAATAATTTCAGAGTGCGATTTGATGAACGGAGAACGAATGTTGACGTTCGATAGTGATCCTTGAAGGAGTCGTTAGTTCTGAACACTGGAATGCAAGTGCCACTATGAACGTTGATCGAGGCAGTCTGCACGACTATTAAAGCGAACATGAATTGACTTACCTTCTCCATCAGTTTTCTCATTCGCTTCTGAAATATTTGTAGTGAGTGGACAATGTGGACGATGTAGTTGGTGATAAAATTTCCATTTGAAATGCAGAATTAATTTGCAATTCTTAAGAGTGAGTGATCATCTTCACAATGGTTTCATCAAACGAATGTGTTTCGTTTGGATTGTAAGGTGTGGACACGTGAACTGAAACTATCATCTATTATGCTACATGACTGCTACATTAAATGTGAATATTGCAGTGGTCGGAAGTGGATGTGTGTAGTTCGTGAACCTGAACGATCCTCGTGCTTTCAGCAAATCAACCATACTCGTATCGGCCACATCACAAGTGGTTTCTTGGATCATCTCAAGGCGTTTGCAATCCATCCAGATGTGTACACTATTTAAACGTTGACACGTTCACAGAGTCAAACTGTTTGTGAGACGCCATCAGACATCTTTAGCTGGTTTTATTTCATTCATCATCATTATACAGAATGAAGCGCAACCTTATTTTATTTTGACTCACTCAGTTCCGTCCTCTGAATATGTTACAGGGGAAAATTACATTTTCGTGTCGACATCTATGAGTTTCTAAGTTTTCAAGATTAAACTAACTTCAAACATTGAATCTTTTTGAATAAGGTAAACAATTGGCAATAGTCTATTATTCGACTGTTGTGGACAATCTCGAAGTATGAAAACTTCTAGCAAAGTTATGAAATATTCTTGTCCATGCAATTTGATTGATCGTAAATATGAAACAATAAATTGTTCTAATATTATAATATTTGATTGCTTAACAAGTACACAAATACGTAATACTCTGCAGGTATTTAGGGATGCAGTGTGTAAGAACTCATTTCATACATAATGAACCACCATGCTCAGGCTTCATAGGAATATCAAACTTTAAAATGCTCTGTCGCAGCGATTCATAATCGATGTTTATAATTCTTTGAACAAACTCTTATTTCATGAGTTTTAATAGATTGTGAAAAATAATTTTCTAGATCTACCTGTATTACTATTGACATTTCGTTTGCTCTCAGTGTCTAAATGTTAACATGTTACAATGAAAGTAATGAAATTTGTTATGTTCTGGAGTAATGTAACAAAGACGTCGTTCTCATTTCACATAAAATGACACGAAAGAGTTTCAATAGAGTTGAGTTTATATCAATGTAAGAAAACAACCATACTGCATTAAGACATGAGAATATTATGATCGCTTTATGGAAGTATGTGATCGATTTATAACGACAGGTTAAGACCAAACTCAAAAACCCAACCGCCACTGATTTGCAAATACGCATTTCGTGGCTCGTTATCGTGAAAATTCTGTCGATTGTGACTGTGAGATTTTCATCGCTCACTGTTTAACAGATAACCATGTTCACTTTGAATATACGAAGGCAACAAATTGAAGCCAATGTAAACAAGTGGAGACGAGAATAATTTCAGAGTGCGATTTGATGAACGGAGAACGAATGTTGACGTTCGATAGTGATCCTTGAAGGAGTCGTTAGTTCTGAACACTGGAATGCAAGTGCCACTATGAACGTTGATCGAGGCAGTCTGCACGACTATTAAAGCGAACATGAATTGACTTACCTTCTCCATCAGTTTTCTCATTCGCTTCTGAAATATTTGTAGTGAGTGGACAATGTGGACGATGTAGTTGGTGATAAAATTTCCATTTGAAATGCAGAATTAATTTGCAATTCTTAAGAGTGAGTGATCATCTTCACAATGGTTTCATCAAACGAATGTGTTTCGTTTGGATTGTAAGGTGTGGACACGTGAACTGAAACTATCATCTATTATGCTACATGACTGCTACATTAAATGTGAATATTGCAGTGGTCGGAAGTGGATGTGTGTAGTTCGTGAACCTGAACGATCCTCGTGCTTTCAGCAAATCAACCATACTCGTATCGGCCACATCACAAGTGGTTTCTTGGATCATCTCAAGGCGTTTGCAATCCATCCAGATGTGTACACTATTTAAACGTTGACACGTTCACAGAGTCAAACTGTTTGTGAGACGCCATCAGACATCTTTAGCTGGTTTTATTTCATTCATCATCATTATACAGAATGAAGCGCAACCTTATTTTATTTTGACTCACTCAGTTCCGTCCTCTGAATATGTTACAGGGGAAAATTACATTTTCGTGTCGACATCTATGAGTTTCTAAGTTTTCAAGATTAAACTAACTTCAAACATTGAATCTTTTTGAATAAGGTAAACAATTGGCAATAGTCTATTATTCGACTGTTGTGGACAATCTCGAAGTATGAAAACTTCTAGCAAAGTTATGAAATATTCTTGTCCATGCAATTTGATTGATCGTAAATATGAAACAATAAATTGTTCTAATATTATAATATTTGATTGCTTAACAAGTACACAAATACGTAATACTCTGCAGGTATTTAGGGATGCAGTGTGTAAGAACTCATTTCATACATAATGAACCACCATGCTCAGGCTTCATAGGAATATCAAACTTTAAAATGCTCTGTCGCAGCGATTCATAATCGATGTTTATAATTCTTTGAACAAACTCTTATTTCATGAGTTTTAATAGATTGTGAAAAATAATTTTCTAGATCTACCTGTATTACTATTGACATTTCGTTTGCTCTCAGTGTCTAAATGTTAACATGTTACAATGAAAGTAATGAAATTTGTTATGTTCTGGAGTAATGTAACAAAGACGTCGTTCTCATTTCACATAAAATGACACGAAAGAGTTTCAATAGAGTTGAGTTTATATCAATGTAAGAAAACAACCATACTGCATTAAGACATGAGAATATTATGATCGCTTTATGGAAGTATGTGATCGATTTATAACGACAGGTTAAGACCAAACTCAAAAACCCAACCGCCACTGATTTGCAAATACGCATTTCGTGGCTCGTTATCGTGAAAATTCTGTCGATTGTGACTGTGAGATTTTCATCGCTCACTGTTTAACAGATAACCATGTTCACTTTGAATATACGAAGGCAACAAATTGAAGCCAATGTAAACAAGTGGAGACGAGAATAATTTCAGAGTGCGATTTGATGAACGGAGAACGAATGTTGACGTTCGATAGTGATCCTTGAAGGAGTCGTTAGTTCTGAACACTGGAATGCAAGTGCCACTATGAACGTTGATCGAGGCAGTCTGCACGACTATTAAAGCGAACATGAATTGACTTACCTTCTCCATCAGTTTTCTCATTCACTTCTGAAATATTTGTAGTGAGTGGACAATGTGGACGATGTAGTTGGTGATAAAATTTCCATTTGAAATGCAGAATTAATTAGCAATTCTTAAGAGTCAGTGATCATCTTCACAATGGTTTCATCAAACGAATGTGTTTCGTTTGGATTGTAAGGTGTGGACACGTGAACTGAAACTATCATCTATTATGCTACATGACTGCTACATTAAATGTGAATATTGCAGTGGTCGGAAGTGGATGTGTGTAGTTCGTGAACCTGAACGATCCTCGTGCTTTCAGCAAATCAACCATACTCGTATCGGCCACATCACAAGTGGTTTCTTGGATCATCTCAAGGCGTTTGCAATCCATCCAGATGTGTACACTATTTAAACGTTGACACGTTCACAGAGTCAAACTGTTTGTGAGACGCCATCAGACATCTTTAGCTGGTTTTATTTCATTCATCATCATTATACAGAATGAAGCGCAACCTTATTTTATTTTGACTCACTCAGTTCCGTCCTCTGAATATGTTACAGGGGAAAATTACATTTTCGTGTCGACATCTATGAGTTTCTAAGTTTTCAAGATTAAACTAACTTCAAACATTGAATCTTTTTGAATAAGGTAAACAATTGGCAATAGTCTATTATTCGACTGTTGTGGACAATCTCGAAGTATGAAAACTTCTAGCAAAGTTATGAAATATTCTTGTCCATGCAATTTGATTGATCGTAAATATGAAACAATAAATTGTTCTAATATTATAATATTTGATTGCTTAACAAGTACACAAATACGTAATACTCTGCAGGTATTTAGGGATGCAGTGTGTAAGAACTCATTTCATACATAATGAACCACCATGCTCAGGCTTCATAGGAATATCAAACTTTAAAATGCTCTGTCGCAGCGATTCATAATCGATGTTTATAATTCTTTGAACAAACTCTTATTTCATGAGTTTTAATAGATTGTGAAAAATAATTTTCTAGATCTACCTGTATTACTATTGACATTTCGTTTGCTCTCAGTGTCTAAATGTTAACATGTTACAATGAAAGTAATGAAATTTGTTATGTTCTGGAGTAATGTAACAAAGACGTCGTTCTCATTTCACATAAAATGACACGAAAGAGTTTCAATAGAGTTGAGTTTATATCAATGTAAGAAAACAACCATACTGCATTAAGACATGAGAATATTATGATCGCTTTATGGAAGTATGTGATCGATTTATAACGACAGGTTAAGACCAAACTCAAAAACCCAACCGCCACTGATTTGCAAATACGCATTTCGTGGCTCGTTATCGTGAAAATTCTGTCGATTGTGACTGTGAGATTTTCATCGCTCACTGTTTAACAGATAACCATGTTCACTTTGAATATACGAAGGCAACAAATTGAAGCCAATGTAAACAAGTGGAGACGAGAATAATTTCAGAGTGCGATTTGATGAACGGAGAACGAATGTTGACGTTCGATAGTGATCCTTGAAGGAGTCGTTAGTTCTGAACACTGGAATGCAAGTGCCACTATGAACGTTGATCGAGGCAGTCTGCACGACTATTAAAGCGAACATGAATTGACTTACCTTCTCCATCAGTTTTCTCATTCACTTCTGAAATATTTGTAGTGAGTGGACAATGTGGACGATGTAGTTGGTGATAAAATTTCCATTTGAAATGCAGAATTAATTTGCAATTCTTAAGAGTGAGTGATCATCTTCACAATGGTTTCATCAAACGAATGTGTTTCGTTTGGATTGTAAGGTGTGGACACGTGAACTGAAACTATCATCTATTATGCTACATGACTGCTACATTAAATGTGAATATTGCAGTGGTCGGAAGTGGATGTGTTTAGTTCGTGGACCTGAACGATCCTCGTGCTTTCAGCAAATCAACCATACTCGTATCGGCCACATCACAAGTGGTTTCTTGGATCATCTCAAGGCGTTTGCAATCCATCCAGATGTGTACACTATTTAAACGTTGACACGTTCACAGAGTCAAACTGTTTGTGAGACGCCATCAGACATCTTTAGCTGGTTTTATTTCATTCATCATCATTATACAGAATGAAGCGCAACCTTATTTTATTTTGACTCACTCAGTTCCGTCCTCTGAATATGTTACAGGGGAAAATTACATTTTCGTGTCGACATCTATGAGTTTCTAAGTTTTCAAGATTAAACTAACTTCAAACATTGAATCTTTTTGAATAAGGTAAACAATTGGCAATAGTCTATTATTCGACTGTTGTGGACAATCTCGAAGTATGAAAACTTCTAGCAAAGTTATGAAATATTCTTGTCCATGCAATTTGATTGATCGTAAATATGAAACAATAAATTGTTCTAATATTCTAATATTTGATTGCTTAACAAGTACACAAATACGTAATACTCTGCAGGTATTTAGGGATGCAGTGTGTAAGAACTCATTTCATACATAATGAACCACCATGCTCAGGCTTCATAGGAATATCAAACTTTAAAATGCTCTGTCGCAGCGATTCATAATCGATGTTTATAATTCTTTGAACAAACTCTTATTTCATGAGTTTTAATAGATTGTGAAAAATAATTTTCTAGATCTACCTGTATTACTATTGACATTTCGTTTGCTCTCAGTGTCTAAATGTTAACATATTACAATGAAAGTAATGAAATTTGTTATGTTCTGGAGTAATGTAACAAAGACGTCGTTCTCATTTCACATAAAATGACACGAAAGAGTTTCAATAGAGTTGAGTTTATATCAATGTAAGAAAACAACCATACTGCATTAAGACATGAGAATATTATGATCGCTTTATGGAAGTATGTGATCGATTTATAACGACAGGTTAAGACCAAACTCAAAAACCCAACCGCCACTGATTTGCAAATACGCATTTCGTGGCTCGTTATCGTGAAAATTCTGTCGATTGTGACTGTGAGATTTTCATCGCTCACTGTTTAACAGATAACCATGTTCACTTTGAATATACGAAGGCAACAAATTGAAGCCAATGTAAACAAGTGGAGACGAGAATAATTTCAGAGTGCGATTTGATGAACGGAGAACGAATGTTGACGTTCGATAGTGATCCTTGAAGGAGTCGTTAGTTCTGAACACTGGAATGCAAGTGACACTATGAACGTTGATCGAGGCAGTCTGCACGACTATTAAAGCGAACATGAATTGACTTACCTTCTCCATCAGTTTTCTCATTCACTTCTGAAATATTTGTAGTGAGTGGACAATGTGGACGATGTAGTTGGTGATAAAATTTCCATTTGAAATGCAGAATTAATTTGCAATTCTTAAGAGTGAGTGATCATCTTCACAATGGTTTCATCAAACGAATGTGTTTCGTTTGGATTGTAAGGTGTGGACACGTGAACTGAAACTATCATCTATTATGCTACATGACTGCTACATTAAATGTGAATATTGCAGTGGTCGGAAGTGGATGTGTTTAGTTCGTGGACCTGAACGATCCTCGTGCTTTCAGCAAATCAACCATACTCGTATCGGCCACATCACAAGTGGTTTCTTGGATCATCTCAAGGCGTTTGCAATCCATCCAGATGTGTACACTATTTAAACGTTGACACGTTCACAGAGTCAAACTGTTTGTGAGACGCCATCAGACATCTTTAGCTGGTTTTATTTCATTCATCATCATTATACAGAATGAAGCGCAACCTTATTTTATTTTGACTCACTCAGTTCCGTCCTCTGAATATGTTACAGGGGAAAATTACATTTTCGTGTCGACATCTATGAGTTTCTAAGTTTTCAAGATTAAACTAACTTCAAACATTGAATCTTTTTGAATAAGGTAAACAATTGGCAATAGTCTATTATTCGACTGTTGTGGACAATCTCGAAGTATGAAAACTTCTAGCAAAGTTATGAAATATTCTTGTCCATGCAATTTGATTGATCGTAAATATGAAACAATAAATTGTTCTAATATTATAATATTTGATTGCTTAACAAGTACACAAATACGTAATACTCTGCAGGTATTTAGGGATGCAGTGTGTAAGAACTCATTTCATACATAATGAACCACCATGCTCAGGCTTCATAGGAATATCAAACTTTAAAATGCTCTGTCGCAGCGATTCATAATCGATGTTTATAATTCTTTGAACAAACTCTTATTTCATGAGTTTTAATAGATTGTGAAAAATAATTTTCTAGATCTACCTGTATTACTATTGACATTTCGTTTGCTCTCAGTGTCTAAATGTTAACATATTACAATGAAAGTAATGAAATTTGTTATGTTCTGGAGTAATGTAACAAAGACGTCGTTCTCATTTCACATAAAATGACACGAAAGAGTTTCAATAGAGGTGAGTTTATATCAATGTAAGAAAACAACCATACTGCATTAAGACATGAGAATATTATGATCGCTTTATGGAAGTATGTGATCGATTTACAACGACAGGTTAAGACCAAACTCAAAAACCCAACCGCCACTGATTTGCAAATACGCATTTCGTGGCTCGTTATCGTGAAAATTCTGTCGATTGTGACTGTGAGATTTTCATCGCTCACTGTTTAACAGATAACCATGTTCACTTTGAATATACGAAGGCAACAAATTGAAGCCAATGTAAACAAGTGGAGACGAGAATAATTTCAGAGTGCGATTTGATGAACGGAGAACGAATGTTGACGTTCGATAGTGATCCTTGAAGGAGTCGTTAGTTCTGAACACTGGAATGCAAGTGCCACTATGAACGTTGATCGAGGCAGTCTGCACGACTATTAAAGCGAACATGAATTGACTTACCTTCTCCATCAGTTTTCTCATTCACTTCTGAAATATTTGTAGTGAGTGGACAATGTGGACGATGTAGTTGGTGATAAAATTTCCATTTGAAATGCAGAAATAATTTGCAATTCTTAAGAGTGAGTGATCATCTTCACAATGGTTTCATCAAACGAATGTGTTTCGTTTGGATTGTAAGGTGTGGACACGTGAACTGAAACTATCATCTATTATGCTACATGACTGCTACATTAAATGTGAATATTGCAGTGGTCGGAAGTGGATGTGTTTAGTTCGTGGACCTGAACGATCCTCGTGCTTTCAGCAAATCAACCATACTCGTATCGGCCACATCACAAGTGGTTTCTTGGATCATCTCAAGGCGTTTGCAATCCATCCAGATGTGTACACTATTTAAACGTTGACACGTTCACAGAGTCAAACTGTTTGTGAGACGCCATCAGACATCTTTAGCTGGTTTTATTTCATTCATCATCATTATACAGAATGAAGCGCAACCTTATTTTATTTTGACTCACTCAGTTCCGTCCTCTGAATATGTTACAGGGGAAAATTACATTTTCGTGTCGACATCTATGAGTTTCTAAGTTTTCAAGATTAAACTAACTTCAAACATTGAATCTTTTTGAATAAGGTAAACAATTGGCAATAGTCTATTATTCGACTGTTGTGGACAATCTCGAAGTATGAAAACTTCTAGCAAAGTTATGAAATATTCTTGTCCATGCAATTTGATTGATCGTAAATATGAAACAATAAATTGTTCTAATATTATAATATTTGATTGCTTAACAAGTACACAAATACGTAATACTCTGCAGGTATTTAGGGATGCAGTGTGTAAGAACTCATTTCATACATAATGAACCACCATGCTCAGGCTTCATAGGAATATCAAACTTTAAAATGCTCTGTCGCAGCGATTCATAATCGATGTTTATAATTCTTTGAACAAACTCTTATTTCATGAGTTTTAATAGATTGTGAAAAATAATTTTCTAGATCTACCTGTATTACTATTGACATTTCGTTTGCTCTCAGTGTCTAAATGTTAACATGTTACAATGAAAGTAATGAAATTTGTTATGTTCTGGAGTAATGTAACAAAGACGTCGTTCTCATTTCACATAAAATGACACGAAAGAGTTTCAATAGAGTTGAGTTTATATCAATGTAAGAAAACAACCATACTGCATTAAGACATGAGAATATTATGATCGCTTTATGGAAGTATGTGATCGATTTACAACGACAGGTTAAGACCAAACTCAAAAACCCAACCGCCACTGATTTGCAAATACGCATTTCGTGGCTCGTTATCGTGAAAATTCTGTCGATTGTGACTGTGAGATTTTCATCGCTCACTGTTTAACAGATAACCATGTTCACTTTGAATATACGAAGGCAACAAATTGAAGCCAATGTAAACAAGTGGAGACGAGAATAATTTCAGAGTGCGATTTGATGAACGGAGAACGAATGTTGACGTTCGATAGTGATCCTTGAAGGAGTCGTTAGTTCTGAACACTGGAATGCAAGTGCCACTATGAACGTTGATCGAGGCAGTCTGCACGACTATTAAAGCGAACATGAATTGACTTACCTTCTCCATCAGTTTTCTCATTCACTTCTGAAATATTTGTAGTGAGTGGACAATGTGGACGATGTAGTTGGTGATAAAATTTCCATTTGAAATGCAGAATTAATTAGCAATTCCTAAGAGTGAGTGATCATCTTCACAATGGTTTCATCAAACGAATGTGTTTCGTTTGGATTGTAAGGTGTGGACACGTGAACTGAAACTATCATCTATTATGCTACATGACTGCTACATTAAATGTGAATATTGCAGTGGTCGGAAGTGGATGTGTGTAGTTCGTGGACCTGAACGATCCTCGTGCTTTCAGCAAATCAACCATACTCGTATCGGCCACATCACAAGTGGTTTCTTGGATCATCTCAAGGCGTTTGCAATCCATCCAGATGTGTACACTATTTAAACGTTGACACGTTCACAGAGTCAAACTGTTTGTGAGACGCCATCAGACATCTTTAGCTGGTTTTATTTCATTCATCATCATTATACAGAATGAAGCGCAACCTTATTGATTTTGCTCCACATGTTATAGATATTTTGAATTTCATACATACTGAATATACGTATGATGAATGCCAATTTACGGTTATTATGAAAATATAATTATTTAAATCCATGTGCAGTTATTTTTACCCAAAATATTTTTATTTCCACTTCTATCTAGAGTATCTGAAACAGCAAAGAGAAAGATATGTGAATCGTTAAACTTTGTTGAAATGCGTAGAACAGCTCAGATGTGTGTTTATGGTTTATCATGTAGGAACTATAATTACTTATAATATATGTGTATAGAACAGTTAGCATAAACGTTTGAAATATACTGAGCAGCGGGTATCATTACTTTTAGAAGCTTTCACAAGAATTTCGAATTAATCAAAATAGTACTCATTGCAAGAGGTATTCAAATATAACCGAATACGTAATGATCAAAAATGCAAGTGTTCATATAACATACTGATAGAATGCTTTATATGATACAATCTGGCCGCTGTAAACAGAAAAACAAAATTAAGAATGCATTTGAGGATCTACGTTCATTTGTTTCATGGAATGTATCAAACTTTGGAAGTCAAATCAACTGAGTAAGAGAAAGCGTCAACTGAAACAATAACATATTGTGTATTATAAAAATGTATTTTCGGTGTGTTTAAATTGCTACTTGTAAACCATTTGTCGTGATGACAATGAAGCAAAGGGTATCTTCAAAATCCAAGGACAATAAGAGAACCTAGCGCTCATTGATGGAAAGCAATAGTTTGTGATATTGTGTTTGGTAAGGTTATTGTCATGACGTGCGGATATTTTACTAGTCATATTCTGCAGTGCACATTTCTATTGATGTTCATCACATCTACGACGCTCGATTCGTTGAAGTTGAGCAGTTTAAAGTATTCAGTTGTGCATATGATCTTTGTTAGTTCAAAGAGGTTTCAATTCCAAATATAATGACCAATCTTAAACGGAAAGCGAATCTTTCTACTTGATTTGCTACTTCTGAGAATAAATGTAAGCTATAGGTGTTGAGTGGGAACGATCAGTCGACCTCTATTACAAATAATAGTATTCCACACTGTGCTGAGTTTGTGAGTAAGATGAAGTTTAAAGATGAGGAATATCAATGTTATTTACATGATTATATTATTTAGTGAACATAACAATGAGAATGGTTGGTCGAACACTGAAGTCGAAAGTAGTTGTTGATTGGTCATCAAATGAGAGAAATAAAATGTCATCGGGTTGTATGAATTTATGTGATAGGATAATGTATAAAGCGAACTACGTCTCCTTAGTGTTTGAACGTATAGACATCGTTCACTTCAATAGGATAGCTTATGATCAGCATCCATTCGAATGCTAATTGAGAACTGTTGTGTAATATTATCAAACAGGTATGAGATTTAAAACAATTTATTCACTGGGTTATTCTCATGTTACACAGTGTCTAGTAATAAGGTGAATAGTTTACAACTATGAATCATCTACAAAATAAACATGGAATAATAATAATGTCAAATATTGCTAACATATACCTAGAGCATCTTTCCTTCGTTTTTCAGATTTAATAGCTAAATGGAACAAAGTATAATAGATTGTGTTATTATAAACAGTGACCATGAATCATTTCACAATAATGTTTAACGTTCCAAAAGAGTGTCTACTTTCGAGACTTTTAAGAGTTGATGGAATGGAGTTGTGATTATTTTCACCGATTCTCTATTATTGTGTGCATATGTTCGTTGTCCGATGGGAGGACGTTATGGGAATTTCTTCGATACTGCGGAGTTCTTAAGGAGATTGTCGATCTTATCCGGAACTCACACGACGGACTACAGTCCAAGGTCGTGCATGGAGGACAGCCGACAGTCGCATTTCAAGTAAGGACCGTAGTCAGATAAAGCTGTCTACTATCTCCCTTCCTCTTTCTTCTGATGGTCGACTGGATAATGAAGACTTTGGCATCTGAGGGAAAACACGGAATACAAGGGACAGCTTAGAATCGATTGGACGGTTTGGACTTCGCAGATGACCTAGCCCTCCTATCGCATACACATGAACAAATGCAGATAAAGACAGCCAGTGTAGCAGCAGTCTCTGCATCAGTAGGCCTCAGCATACACATGAAGAAAACCAAGGTCTTCAAATTCAAAACGAAGAACAGCAGTCCAGTCACTCTTGATAGCGAATCTCTGGACGATGTGGAATCCTTCCCATACCTGGAAAGCATCATCGATGAAAAAGGAGGATCAGATGCAGACGTAAAGGCGGGGATTGTCAAAGCAAGGGCTGCATTCATACAATCGAAGAACATATGGAACTCAAAACAACTGCTAACCACTATCAAGTTCAGAATCCTCAATACGAACGTCAAGACAGTTCCACGGTACGAAGCTGAAACTTGGAGAACTACTACAACCATCATCAAACATGTACAAGTATTGATAAATAGTTGTCTACGCAGGATCCTCAACATCCATTGGCCTGATAACATCAGCAACAGCCTACTATGGGAGAGAACAAATAAGCTTCCAGCTGAAGAAGAAATTAAGAAAAGACGATGGAAATGGATGAGACATACATTTTGCAAATCATCAAACTGTACCACGAAGAAAGCCCTAGCTTGGAGTCGTGAAGGGAAGCCGAAAAGAAGAGGGCCAAAGAAGACATTACGTCGGGAAACAGAAGTAGATATGAAAAGGATGAATATTAGCTGGAAGGAGCTGGAAATGATTGCCTAGGACAGGGTTGGATGGAGAATGCTGGTGAGCGGCCTATGTTCTCCCACGAGGAGTAACAGGAGTAATTAAGTAAGTAAGTAACCATAAATCATTTCAAAATAAAACTTAACGTTTCAAAAGAGTGTTTACTTTCAAGACGTTCAACAGTTGATCGAATGGAGTTGTGGTTATTTTAGCCGATTCTCTATTATCGTGTGCATGTGTTCGTTGTCCGAGTTGTAATATTTATCATCCGATGTTGGATTTATCAAACGTTAGCCTTTTATCGTATACTCTGAAATCACGTTCGTTACTTTGTTGTCTGATCGTAAAATACTGGGCAAAAGCCATCATCAAGTAATCGTTGACATCAATGAAATTCATATGCAAAACGAGTAAAACAAGGGATCCTCATGTGATTCAGACACTAGATTCTTCATAATTTCGAGGTATTGTCTAGGTCATAGTGACTGCAAATATTCACAATTGATCTCACTCAACATTTACCACCACTTGTCAGAGATAGTTTATACTAGAATAATTTGAATAAATAAACTGATAAAATACAGTTTGGCTTATGATTCTTACTTATTGAGATAAACATTATCCTGTTTAAAAGATCAACTGCAAAGGGCACTTTTCGCAAAGCACAATGAGTATCTTGTACATTTTTTCAACAAGTGTTCCTTTTTAATTTTCATGAAGTTGGTTTTGTTAGCACTTTATGTCCGGCTAGTTATCGTGTGATTTATCCAACAATCAAAGTGTGACTTATACAATCTTAGCACTATGTCAAACCAATGGCGTCCGACCGGTATGAGCAGCCTAGTGTCTTTATTGGTCCTATGTCCGCCTAGCCCGTCCACCTGATTCCAGAACAACAATACCAGCTTCCACTATGCGAACCGAGTTGAATCATTTATTTCAGACATACTGGGTTTATATATCAATAGAACAGACCACAACGCACCATACAATAGGAAATAACATTTGTACACAATAAGGCCAAAAGGTGTCTGTGAACGTGGGAGACAGTAGTCAATAAACTGAACATAGCTTACGAACAGTAAATCGTACAATAATAAATTATAGGTCAAAATGAGGCTTATAATAAGAGGAATATGAATAGACATAATCTAGTTATTGAAAAGTTATACCATAAGGATGTGTAGATAATATTAGTTAATTGATATGTCTCAGAAGTTACTCGTGATTTAATCTTCCCCCGGATGTAACAAGTCTAAGGAACAGAGTGACGGTGCTTTCAATCTGTCAACCGTTGGAATTCAAACGGAACTACCTTGGAGACAATATAGTATTTTCGTGCAGAAACATTTAAGAAAACATTAACTGCAACTAACACTTACCTTCGGCCGTTTTGTTGATGATTATGTAAGATCCTATAAAAGTATTCAAATGACAAACATTGTTGTACATAGAATTATTCAAAACTATGTACGTGATCATACTACGTGTTACTCTTTACATATGAATAACACTATTTATTTGCGGAAATCGTGTCAAAATAACGACCTACAATGGAGTAAACAAGTAGTTGCGTAAATGTATGTAAAAATACCGAAGCTTTCTGTATGAAACTATCAACAAATATTTTCATTGATTTTACTCGGAGTACACTTGACTATTGAAGAGCTATATTCCACTTACTTACTAGATTTTGCTGACAACAAACATCTGTGCTGATTATGTATTAACCAGAACTGAACATGATGTTTATGGTTAATATTATTAGTCTAGAATACTTATCACATGCTTCAAGGGATTAAGCATTAACGGAGTCCAATGAAATAATTTATGAATCTTGCGTTGTCAGTGAAAGATGTATCATACAGAAAATTCTACCTTGCAATACTCATTTTCCCTAAAGTGTGAGACCTGGTATTAAGGAATATCTCGGGTTGTCCGCAATTCTTGGGGACGTGGAGTACTTTGACATGATATACTCATTTGTTATGTTTGTAATTATTATAAACAGAAGCGACGAGGTCTTTGCCCGTTCATTAATTCATTAAACGTAATAACCACCTAGAACTACTTGTGTGAAATCATTTTATTTCCTATTGAAATGGTAGTGGAAATTTATCGAAGGCAGATTAACTGTTATTTTGCTGATGTGAGTATACAAGTGAGAGACACACCACAACATTATCAATCGAATCACTACATAGGGACATCTTAGACTTATGAGTTCGATGGTCACTTGAGCAGTCGCTATGCACAATTGTTGACTGACAAGCTACAAAATGACCTATGGATTTCTGAAGTTTGTTTGAACGAACCAGTCAATAATGTGGAATTTAATCATAGTTATCTTGCAAAGTGTATATGATGCATGTAAATAGATCAGTATAAGTAACATCTCATCGTTTACGTGGTATTTG